TAGTTTGGAATGGTCAGAGCAATTAGTAATGGCTGTCAGGTCACCTTAAATTTTTATGTTATTATGGTCGTTTATGCACTCACATATATATTTATAAATACGGTTGCGGCTAATTACTAAAATTCCGTCGGAATATATATTATTATGTATATCACCACTAGACATTACGTATAGATTTATTTACAGAATATGTTGTAATATTTGTGTTTATGAAAATATAGTTGCATTGTGTAAACGGATGTATTCAGGAGTGTTCATTTTAAATTGTAAAGCGTCAAAGTTTTTAAAGTTTTAGCCTCAAAACATCACAATTTCGAAACCTCGAGATCGAAGATGTTCCCGATTAAAGAGACTACCTAGCGAGAGTATTGTTGCGCATGGTGTCGCGTGGCACTTGCAGCATATTGCACACCCGTCTTGTACAGATGCGCGTAACATAAGGCAAGTAAAAACCCACAATCTCACAAAGAATGTATAAAAACCGCATGTACCACGAAACGTTGTGTCCATGCTTTTCCACGCTTCGTTAGTCACCGCTCTTACGTTATAAAAGTAGTATCGATTTCCACCATCTTTCTCTCCCATAAACTAAAGAACTCTGAGTAGCCAGAGGTAGCGGGGAACTCACGTCTTTGATGCTTCACAGATACCGGTGTGTTGCTTACGAGATATGTGTATACGTCCAACAATTGGTAATGCAGTCCTATGGCGCACTTTTTAGGAACGCAGGCTTGATTCGATCAGGTCTTTCTCAAATAATTTCGTACAAAGGAACTAGCTGACCTCTATTTTGAAAAAAAAAAACCTCTTTATGAAGAAAGTCTTAAAGCTGTTCTTGTTCTCACACTTCCAACTACTGCTCGCTTTACTCTATCCGCGATGGGCTCCGCGAATGTTCAGCCGTTTGAGGGCAAGACTATCCCCACGTATCTGCACGCCGTTCACTTGCTTCAAGGACGTTTTGCCCTTGTGTAACGTGTAGGAAGCAGCAAGGCGGAACTTCATGGATTCTGTCTCGTCTATGTTGATCGATAGTTCAGTCTCCTCCACGTGGATTGCCAATTTTACGAGAGTTTCGTGGAAATGAAGCCGACTGCTATCAACGATGACAAGATGATCAGCATAAAGCATGGTTTTTACTTTGCCCGCCGAGTCTTGTACTCGGAACGGAAGATCACTGAGAAGCAGCGAGAACAGTAGTGGACTCAGCTTATCATTCTGTATGACGCCGGTTGAGTAGATGAGCGGCTCCATCCGGGCCACTTCATTACGTATGCTCACCCAGTTCTCTTGTAGCATCGTCCTGATCAAGAGCAGCATGTTTTATGGAATGCCACATTCTGCAGACTTAATCAACATTTTGTATCTGAGAATCATTTGTCCTGCTAAGCCAAAATGCATCAACAAACTTCGAGGGAATTTCGTCAGCCAGTGTGTGACGAAATGTACCAGAAGCTCGTAGCAGCCGCAGATTTCCTTCGCGGTCGCCCTCCGTAAATATGGGTCAGGCATTCTACCTTTCTCTTTTGCTATAACGCTCAACAACGAGTTCCTTTAACTTGCTGGTAAGGAGTCAACATCCATCCTTGGTTGTAAGCAAACATTGAATAGCTGTGTCCAGCATAAGAACACGTCATCCGCACTTTTTAAGTGCGGGTCAGAGTCGACTCCGTCACTTTGTTTAGTTGCGGTTGTTTTAGGCACCGCAGTACCTCGAACATAGAGAACCCCTCAGTGCTTTGCATATCAAAGACGTTTGCTCATTCCATAGACAAGTGTCCGAAGGCACTACCCGTGGGATGGCTAAATGTGCGCGCTTCTAAAATATTCCCTTAGCAGACCTTCAACCCTTCTTCCATTCTTCCCTCGTTTGTAAGACTCAGTTGCTGATTGAGTCACTAACATGTCGTTTTGTAGCCCAAGGTACTGTCAATACAAGGCCAATTGAAATATTCGCTGATGCTAACCTTGTACAAGATACAAAGTGGCGTTATAAGTGAGTGATGTCTGGGACAGTCCCGTGATTAGCGGAGTGCAAGAGCGGCCAGCTTGTCTTGAACCATGGGCGTTATCGGCCCAGCTTCGGGCCAGTTACTGGCGATTCTAGCACTTCGATCAGGCCTTCGGTATCAGAGATGATATTTGGAGTTGCTGTTACCCGAAACAGGATAGTAACCTCGTAAGTACGCTTGATTCCACTCACAAGCATTCTACTTTCGTGCTATGCGTCTAAGTAGCTTCTAATTTATGTATTGTGCGTATTCATCATATTTTTTACCCTGACCGTTCTGCTGTCCGTTATGTGAGGACACGTTTAAAAAATCGACTATTACTGCTTAACAAAATGTTGGTGAAATGGTTAATAAAAATTAAACTCTATTGGCCATAGCAGTTCCTCCTACCAAAGCCAAGAACTAGTTAACAATACCTAACAAACGAGATAAGGTTGTTAGAGCTACTGAAAAAATCGTCTAGAAGTACCACTTGAGAGTGTGTGCACTCTTACGCCACTTACTTCCATTAACTATTAAACTACTCTGAGCATTTTCGTAAATCAACAAAGGCCATCGATTGATTTACACGACGAAGGAAGTAAAAGTGATTTGGCCTCAGGCTATACCAGTGGGTAGAGTTTTAGACATACTTCCATGCGACTTAACAACAATACCAATAGCGTTATTTTGGTGAAGTGCGACTTCTCGGTGTTATATAATATTTCAAATCAACAGTTTCTTAATGCTTAGTGTACACTTCCATATAATGGCGGCAACGCCAAGATGGATAAGACCTATCATTTATATGACACATATTTTTGGCCAAGTATTTGGCTGTATTTAGACGTTTCCTGTAGTCTACCTCCTAAACAGTTCTCCTTCACATAAGTGTGCATGTTTAATAATGACAATGACAGGAACAGTAGGTATAGAAAATAAAAATTGACAAAGGCGGAGCAATGTAGGTGTTTTTAGCGTTCCGCGTGTGGTGCTATTATCATTACATAGTCCATGTTATCACGGACTCAATGAATCAATGCAGATAACTAGGAAGTAACCAGTGGCAGTCTTTAATCTTGAGCTACGCGTTGTCTTAGCTGAGGAGCTTCTTTTATTATCTTCCTTCCCTTAACAACAGTTTCGTCGTGATCCTAACAATGTAACTGCCATTGCTGTTTAAATAGCGTAATAAAGGATGAACACTCGAATATTCATAATTAAATAAAATTTCTGATGATTCGATTTCTATCCCTTATCAAATTTAGAGTATACATGTATCGAATATGTCTTTGAGAAGACACGCTATCTTTAACATTTCTATATCTTTATGACCTTGTTACAGTAGTAAAACGAAATTATCTTACATCTTGCACTTCAGTATTATAGAATGCACTGCAACAATGCCCTAACAACAAAACACGGTTTCCCCGTTCTGATTATCAGCAGCAACGGCTGCTGTTACTACTGCGGAAGGCCACGCTCGCGTGCGTAGATATATTTACAGAATATCCTTTTCTTGTTAAAAGTATATTTACCAATTATGCGAATGCTTGTTTATGCCTAAAAATAACCCTGGAATCATTTGATCCTTCTTCAAGATAAAAACCAATAGGGTTTTTTTTACCTAAAAAAATAAACAAGGCTCATATGTAGTTTTGGAACCATATATAGGTTTGTAAACGATATGTCTTTCGTTCAATAGAGTATTACGGCTCCTAATAGATATTTTTGTGCGCTGGCAATAACTCTCAGAATCTCGTATTATCATTAAAAACAATTACCAGAAATTCTGCATGCTTCCCTTGAAATCTGCAAGTGTTCATTCTTTACGTAAAAAGCAGCTGAAGCCACCTATTTATGTCTCATTAGTATACTGTTATTTAGTGCTTCAAAAAATATCTATTAATAATTTCTGCGTTGTCTCACAACTATTACACATATATAATGAGTGCTTATGAGCGAGCAGCCAGGACCACCTTCAGATTTTTTTGGTCTAATATCAACATCTTGTTATCTTTTGGCGTTGATACACAAATTATATTCTGTCTACGCTAGAGCGCTCGAAGATGCATTCACGGGTGTAGTTCATCCATCGAACTAATTTCTGTAATATTCTGTAAAAAGCAGGTACATCCGTTGCAAAACGGAAATAAACGTTTGGTTCAATGACTTTATTGTTAATTATTAAAAACGATTAAATTTCTTTCCACAGATCTTTGTCCGAAGCCAATATCTCGTTGGCACGTTGCTCTGCTACACTACTACTCGAGTAATGTAGCTAACACTATAGAATAAAATTCGCTCCTTTTCTGATAAGACTTTGAAACGATGTATATAAATATCGGTGTGATATCATTTCATTGCCTTAGCACTTTTAATTAGTAAGGCACAGCCATACTCTAGCTAGCTGTGTTGTCGGAAAGCTTGCTCCAGGCCTGCTAGCTGCGGTAGCGGTCTTCTTATGTGAGACTGTCTTCTATGCCTGCAGCCCAGGAAGCTCAATAACATGTATTTAGTAAATTCTCAAATGTCTTTACTCTTATTTCTCTAGAAAAAAAACGCAAGCTCAATCTCCATTCCCTTACTTTATCCAGCTTACTGTCTACGTCCCTTTATTTTTATTGGGCGCTAATTAATTGAGTGTGTCAATAAGCCTAGCTTACAGTAGCGACGCAACGTCACGATGATATTGCAAAAAACCCGATAGATATTTATTTATTTCACGCACGTGCGTGGTAATTGTGCACATACTCATTTCGGTGTTTCAAAAAATTCATATACACGTTCTCTCTGTTTCTGGTTTTTTTAGAGACTCTGCAAATGAACTATGATATATTTTATACTACTTATCTTACATGGCTTATAGGACGTGTTTTGTTTGAAATTTGGAACAAGACGAAATCTTACATCTTCTTCGAGGCAGCGTTCGGAGCTAAAAGCAAGCAGTCTGATGCAGGTTGTTTTCGTTTACTTGTTCGGGTAACCGCTTTCGCTATTCTATTTCAGGCTGCAAAATTAAGGCTCTTAGAGCAAAGACAAATACATACATCAAAACGCCGGTTCGAGGCGAGGAACCGGTATTCGTCGTTACGGGTCGAAAGGAGGATGTTGCAGCTGCCAAACGTGAAATTCTCTCTGCCGCCGAACACTTTTCTTCCATCCGCGCGCAGCGCAAAAGTAACGGTCTTAACGCCATGGCGCCCGGGCCCAACTCCAATATGCCAGGTCAGCTACCCGTAACAATTATTCAATTATTACAGAATTAGGTAAGGCTATGAAAGTAAACTGCCAAGCCATGCTAGGCAGTGGCCTTTTTTATTTATTAAGAGTGAGACTACTAATATCGTTGTCGTACAAACTGAATTTTTATAGATTCTTGGTAATATAGTAAGTTTAAAAATGTGTCACAAGTGTTGTGTTTACTATCTCTCATATCGATGAACGGCCGGTTCAAGTTCAGCGATGTGACACACTATTACCCCACTGGGATGAGCAAAGAAAATTTATTCTAGACTGAAAATGACGATAAGATTGTATCAAGTGTACAATATATTGATATCGAATTGTGTAGACTAAAGTGGTTCTATCGATAGCTCAACTATTTAATATTACCATTTGTACTCACAGTGGTTAGTGCTGCTTTTATAGAACATAGCTATCCGTTTTTGGACGTTGATTACTCCTCAGTTGACTCATGTTCAGTAACTATCTAATAGTTTAAATAAGTGAAGTTTGCGCTCGAAAAATTTGAAACACTAATCCGAGTACGATTCACTGTCATAGGGCAGTAGTGGCGCCATAGGGGCAAATCTGACACCTGAAATTTGACTGCTTTGTACGTGTTATGAACGTTCGGCTAATTGCTGCTAATTATTACGACTGTCACGATGAACGTCCTTAGACCTTAGGTCTTCATTAGGTTAATAAAATTACTACTTGGTACCGATTTTTCGAAATTATTTTCTAATAAAAGTATTACACATGCTATCGCTGATTCATTTAATGCAAGCTATACTACTGAAATGCATCAACTTTGACTATCGACTATATGGCGATAATTGCTCGTTTTTGCTTCCTGTTGTTTGAGCTCCTCCAGATGTACTTGTCTGTAAGTACAAATCTACCATAATAATAATAATAATAATAATAACCTCTTCACTTACTGAGCTATTTATTTATATGGAGTTGTGTGTTGTCTGTTTAACTAGCACAACTGTGTGTATATTTCCCGTATACTAGTGTCAGCGCATTAGGTTCCGGGGCAGCAAAAAGGCCAGGGTGTGGCATATGGTCTCTGGTGGGTGAAGAGTCTTCGAATGATCTATTTGGAATTCAACTGAATCTCTTCGTATTACTGCATTACACTGCGGCATTCTGCACACGATGTGCAACAGAAAATAGAAAGAAGCAAGGAAGAGACTAAGCCGTTTCTTGGCTGATGCTGCCACTACGAACCTCTTAAGTACGGGCCTGAAAAAGGACGCTGGCCAAGTGGGTTTTATCGAACGACAAAAGCATCGTGTTACACGCATTCTAGTACGTTATTCATGGCCGACGCTACTTTATTAGTTCAGCTTATCGTTGCCCGAAAGAAAGGAGTGTCAACCCATGACTTTGGCGCCTTTTCCGCCGCATTTCGAATCTGGAAGAACAAGAAAAAACTTGAACTAAACCGAGGTTGTTCTGGAGCGTTGCATAAAGATGTGCAATTAGTTTTCTTCTATCTTCATTATAAGCCTATCTACAAGTCAATTGGTTCCTTAGCGTTCTGCTACTTGTACGCAACGTACGTGTCAATAACCAAAAGTGCAATAATTTTTCAGCACGGCGAAGGTCCTTACACTTTGAAAGTGTAACAGATCTTTCTCTCAGCGTCGTTAACTCTTGTCCGAGGACACGATTCTCGCTCGCTCGCTAAAGCTGTTCTGAGCCATCCCTCCTGCCTCACCTTCGTTGCCTATCTACGCCCTGCGTTTCATAATAGTCCGTCTCTGGGGTGGCATCACTGCCACCACCAATACTATAGCTACAGCTAGCAGCTATCCAGACAGGCAACTAGGTAGCAGCCGCCATAAGGCCGGGTCGTCTGCTGATCAGCCGGCCGGCCGGCCGGCCGACCAGCTAGCCAGCCAATCAGGCAGCCACCAACATCAATGCATCTATATATAGCAGTGAGTGAGCCAGAGAGTCGCTCAGCTAGCCTTCCCGCCCGCCCGCTAAGCTCTAGCTGGCTGTCTTCGCGATTGCGTAGTGAGTAACGTGTTTGCCCCGATAAATACGAGGGATACGTGGTGGTCTGGGTTCGAATGCGGCAATAGACACTTCGTGCTGGGAGTTAGCACTCTGACGGAATGCCTAACGCACATGAAACATTTAGCTCGAGCTAGCTGCTCGCTATATATGCATATCACAGCGAAAGAAATAGGGGAGTGAGCAGGCGTGCTTTAGCTCTGCCGGCAGCCGCCCAAGGGCACTCGTTTCTTACTGATCATCATCAGCATCTGGCCGAGTTTGAGTCTGGTTTAAAAAACGGCATCGGACCCGTTACAACTGCTAGTGCTGCTGGGTTAGCAGTACAGAGTAGAACTGCTGATACAAACGCGAGCTTGTGGGCAGTATTCAACATTGTAACAATCCATTAAGTCCCTAAAAAAACCAACACTGAAAAGCCGAAGCTGTGACTGCCCTAACAAGTATGCTAGGCTTCCTCTAGCCCGCATTTATTATAAATATACACATTGTGTCATAATGCACCGACGTAGAAAAAATCACGTTTTAAGAAGACAATCCGTAATGGTAACGCGAATATAGATGTAGTAGTCAAGCTCGAGACCTCGCGATCAATCGATCACTATCGAAAAGGGGGGGGGGGGTATTACCGAATAATGTAAGTAGCGTCAGGTCGGTATCTTCCGATATTTGTTTTCGAGACGCTTTCCGTGAGATTAGCTACCCTGTATTCGTATTCCAGCTGGTTATCGAGTGTACTTCAGGATGCTGACGCTCCCAAACGCTAGTTGTTTTGATTAAGCGGTGGCTGAGAAGACAACATGAACTGTTATAGCGCATATCCCGTACTTATGATTTCATTGCTACAACGCATGTCGGAAACAAGTGTGGTCGTTGAACTTCGCTTACTACAAACACTAAATCATTTAGTTTTAATATGCGCGTATCTAAAGCGTCGCCTATTTATAATAGCACAGATAAGTAACTTGTAAAATATGACGTACTATGTATTAAATAATTGCAATCAGGGTAAGCTGAGCGTCCAAGTTATTACCGAGCTAATTACAGATGGACACCCGGGATTAATTATGCGTAGCAAAATAGTATTGCTTACGACTGCATTGTTCTCCTAAAAGAAGAAGCTGAGGGTGCGTTTAAACAGCACTCATTTTCCGAAATGGGGCCGAATCCAGAAGGCAAATATAGATTGCATGTTATCTTGCTGTTCCTGTTTACTGAAGTTGGGTCCCCGACAACGACGCGTAGACCCGAGCGCTTATATATACCTACAGCAGTTTGCGTATGCATACAAAATCCTATGTGTCGCGTATTGGCTATATGCACAGAGGTGTGCTTGGTGAACTAACGTGCGGCGTCAAAGCTGTTAGTGTCAAACCGGACGCCTTACTGTCATCTGTCAGCAGCATTTACGAATAGAAGAAAAAATTGTCGGTGGTATCTTATCGGACGTCTGTAGACAATTAGCACAGATGACCTGCTAAAGTAGGTAATAGGACATATTAAGTAAGCAGTATCAACAACCCTTCAAATCTGCTGTTCCGCGAGGGTCCATACAAAAAAAAAACAGTGGGAAGTTTCTTGTCAAATAATTGCTAATACATGATGTGGATGCTCACAACATGCGGGGACTTATAGATCTGCCGTCTCCGCGGCGGCGATGGTGCTAAGTTAATACAAATAAGGTAACCTAAAAGCCAGGAAACGAGTGAGCAGCTAGTTTTCCCGTTCCTGGCATTGGCAATATTCGGATTAGGGTATTGTGAAGAGGGGCATCAATTGTGGGGAGTAGCAAATTGCAGCAATTGCTGCTGACGGTCGTGTTGGCCCTCTGCGACAAATTTCTAGTGCGTGATGCACTCTGCCTGCGAGCACCACATTAATTTTTTTGAAACAGCTGTTGCTGGTCTCGATACAGGCACGCGCTCACGGCTCGATGTTGATAGAGCTTCTGAACAAGGCGATGTTGCTGAATTTTCAGGATACGTTAGATGACCACGGGTACTACTGTTTCACGCTATCTAAGCTCTCGGTAAGACCTAAAGTGTTTCTTTTACTGCTTAGCTCTGGATTTACTATTCTCAAGGGCAATTCCTGTATTTCAGTGGCTTTGCTTGTGCTCGGATCTCTCACATTGTGCAAACACTGGATAGATGACTGTCAAACCTGATATTGGTGCGCCAGTAGCCTTCCCTACTACGTACCTAAATGTCCTACGTGTTTCGTCGCCCAAAACTTCGTGCGGTACCGGAACTTTGTTCTGCCAACAACTTCTGTTAAGAGGCGCTGCACTGTAAGTTGAGAGCTCCAAAGGTTTGGCCAGTAGAAAAAGCAGCGAAGATATCCTACATGGCGCAGCGTGCCGTTTACAAGAAACCGTCACATTCTTGAATCGGGTAATAACGGCGACTGTCGAAGGCTGGACTTTTTTTGTGCTATAATCGATGCGATGAGGTCACTAAAGGTTTTTACGCGTCTGCGTAGTGGACGGCGGTATTCCCGGCTCCGGTAAATGACTTCGGTTTCTCAGATACCTTCGACACTTTGCATCTAATAGAATTTGCCCTCATCGTATCGGCTTGGTGATATCTCCTCGTTATAGATATAGTAACAGACGTTCGGCCTTCAGTCTATGCGCGTTCCTATCATGCGCGTACCAGTTTTAACGACTAATTACGCACGAAACAGACTGGAAAATTATTTCAGCATAAGAATTCACTCCTATGCCTTGTAGTCGTCGCGACAGAAAAACCTTATTTCCCCCGGAAGAAAACGAGTGCAAAGTTCCGCCTCCCGTCCGACTTTCGCCATCGTACCATAAGTGGGCCACTTTCGTTTAAACACCTGTCTGTACTCGATGCAATACATGGCCATTTCCGCAACGAGAACTTTAAACTCCTCGAGCCATACTATAAATCTTGGGCTTATAAACGCCGATACTGGAGATCCCGTTCACTTTCGCAAGCGTTTGGTCTTCTGATGATTTAGTAGCTAAGCCTTATTGAATGTTTTCTTGTCATTTCCGCTAAATTGAGCAGGGCCGACTTCGCTTTCTGGTTGACTGAAATGAGCAAACGTTTTCAGAGTTCATGCGTTCTCAGCTTATTTGTTAAATTGTATCGGAAATTATATCATGACGTTTCATGCATCATAATAGATAATGATATACGTTTTTATAGCAGGTGCTTATTGCTATCAATGTATAGTGTATGTGACATATATTTCTGGAATTTGGATATGCTTATTTAGAGAAAATCCTATGACGTATGTATGTTATTTTTGCGTATTTTCGGGCTGAATTTGCAGGTCAAACAACGATTGAGGTACGAGTGCCGTATCGTGTCGTTGGACTGGTTGTTGGACCAAAGGGCGCCACGATTAAGCGCATCCAACAACAGACTAATACGTATATTGTGACACCGTCGCGCGAGAAGGAACCTGTCTTTGAGGTGACCGGCTTGCCGGAGAATGTCGAGACAGCTCGCAAGGAGATTGAGGCCCATATCGCTATGCGTACCGGGGGAAGTTTGACGACGACCGACCATGGTTCAATCGGATCGTCAGGAGGCGCCACCGATGATGAACTGAACGCCGGAGGCCCTTTTGGAGGTACACTTGGATCACTACGGGGTCACCATGGAAATATGGGAAGCACCGGACAGGGTCTCGGACACTCGCTTGATGCCCTGGTGTCGGTGCAGGATCCTGTCTTCGCCCCATTCGGGTCAGCATTAATGCCCCAACGTTCTGACAGCAACGTTTGTGGGGGAGGCAGTGGCGGTGGAAATTCAGTAGGCAACAATAGTGCTACGGTGTGTGGATTTCCGTTCCCCTCAAAGCTCTACCCAATGTCAATGTCCATGTCATTGTTCGACTCGGTAGCACACGAAGAGGAATCGCCATTCGACTCGCTAGGTTCGCCGGTGTGGCCATCGGAGCTGGCGGGAGGCAACGGAGGCACGGGCGGCCCCCAGCAACACCATCATCAACAGCAACAACACGCCCAACAGCAACAAGCGCATAATCATGGTCATCATCATCATCATCATCACCATCACCATCAACAGCAGCATCATCAACCACAACAGCAGCAGCAGCAGCATCACCGACTGGCGTCCTCGATCGGCGGCCACTCGACGAGTCATTCGTCTGGTGGCAGCCAGTCATCGAATGAAGGCTCATTGGATTTTTTCCGCTACGGGCCAGTCGGTAGTGGCAGCGGAGGGAGTACGGACCGAGTGTCACCTACTGATTCTCTTGGATCAGCAGGACGTGGAACCGGTAACAAGGGACCCTTGGCTGGTAGCGCTGTCGCTCAGGTTGGGGGCGTTGGCGGTTTGAGTGCGGGGGCCAACAATATGGGACGTGAGTGCGTGGTTTGCTTCGAGTCTGAGGTGGTGGCCGCTCTTGTACCTTGCGGACACAACCTCTTCTGTCTTGAGTGTGCCAACCGTGTCGTCGCGTCAGCCAAGCCTGATTGCCCCGTGTGCCACCAGCATTGCTCACAGGCCGTACGAATCTACAATTAGGATATGAGCAAATAAACAGCAGGAAAGTAAACACAAGCGGGCACAGACACCGGCGTGTGGTGCCCGCCTGTTGCCACTGCCACCCCTATTCCCCCAAGATAACAAAATAGCAGCAGAAACATACGGAAACTTCCCTGTCAGAGCATGCAGCACCTGCAACAATATTGGCATAGAAATTAGCACGAGCACGTGGACAGCTGCTTATCCTTTATTATAACAGCTAAGTCAGATCTCCGCGCTCCGCCGCGCTCGGTGGTCACTCTCTGCTGAAGGAACTTCTCTTCCCGCGGTGAACCAGCGATGCTGATGCCGATGATCATGATGATGATGATGATGGTGATGGTGATGATGATGATGATGATGAGTGTAACGAGGGGCTAGCAAAAAGCAACTGTTGACAAATGTATACCAGCTATACCTACAGCCGTCAAAAAGCAAAAAAATATTTGAAACGCCTTCGATGGAGATCCACCGATCTAATAACATCATGAGTAATAGTAGCATTTGATTATATTTGACTACTGAGCAAAACTGACGCGACGATATACGAATAACGGTGATACAGAGAGAAAGATAACTCCGATTTATGGATTTGACAACCTTATTATTATTATTCTTATTATTATATTACTGTACAACGGTAATAACACTATGACAATAACAACAATATGATTATATTATAAATATGACTGTCGCCGTTAAATGTCAGAAAAAGAAGTAAGATACTTAGCAGGCGACTGATCGACTCGTTAGCGTGATATATATATATATAACAATAAGGTGTCACAATATTGATTAAAACATACGCATCCATACAAGAATATAGATACACACAGTCACACATATACCCATCTATATATATATATATATATATAAGTGAAAGAGGCAGGTGCTGGAGTAATAATAATTATAATAATTCACAATAATATTTTTTCAAAACATTCTCATTAAAAATATTGATGGGCACACAGAGAGTACACAGAAGCACGCACACACGCACATTAACCACACATGATATATTCATATATATATATATATATATATACGATGATGCGCATTACGGTGAAAATTAAGAGGAAGATGCGTAATAAACCGTAACAACAGCGACATCAAAAACAGAAAGTGTGATGTATACGCCAGAGTGAATACAAACTAAACATCATCTGCAAAAACATACGGCTTATTGAATCGAAGGAAATGTGTAACAATCGTGTGCAAACATCTAACTCGCGGTGCGTGTGTATGTGTACATGAGTGCGTATGAAAGAGGACTATAGAGAAGAGCACTACAGGATTAAATTAGCAGTAAAAAGCACGAAGTTTAAAAACGAAGTAGGCACAGAAGACAACGTCTACGGTGTTTATGCTGATGATGATGATGATGATGAATAATTTACGTAATTGGGATGCGTGTTCAGTGTTTAAAGGTGACCCAACGGCCGATACGTATCGTGAAGATAGAGCAGCAAATGGCAATGATAACGTTGTGTACTGTTTCGGTCAAGGGGACTCATGTGGACATAACAGTAACAACAACAACAGCAGCAGCAGCAGCAGCAGCAGCAGCAGTGTGCCCAGCGTTGTTTGCAAAAAGAATGACACCATCACAACAAAGAAAAAAACACGTAGAGAGCTGATGGGCTTTACAAACGACAGCAGACCAAAAGGGGAATTTCATTTACTTAGAGACACAGTCAAGACTACGCGTACGTCACAACTAGCTTGCCCCAGACGATCCCGATGAGTATGGCGTCTCGTGAGGCTATTTGAAGTAATCATGGTAACTTCAACAATAGGGAAAACAACCAAATACAAAGAGCATCAATTACATAATGACTACTGGTATCGTGTTCGCCGCTACCGTCACCGACACCGACAACTAAAAAATGACAACAACTGTAAGCAACAAAACAACCTGAACACCCATAACCTACTGATCATATATTGTCATTGTCAATTTTGTAGTATTCCTATTTTAGTTATTCTATTTTAATAATATATTCTATATAAGAGATATTATTAATGATATAAGGAGAGAATACAAAATAGCAACAGTAACAAGAGGCTGATATATCTATATATTAATTCTATGCGAAGAAAGAAAAAAGAGAGACAAAAATGCAAAAGGTGAAATATAGAAATGAATCTCTTCGACACAACAAACAAAGATACATATATATACGTATATATATATATATATATAAATATATATATATATATATACGTACATATATATATATATATGAAAATACAACAATAGGAAATCAAAGATAACTATATATTAGAAAGAAATAATAGATTACTATGAATTATATTGTGAGTGCATGAAAAAGAAAGCCGGTCACAACTTGCCACCTCCTGTGTTACTGTGTGGCTAAACGTATGTTGTGCGATAACAGGAAAATCAATCCGGAAAAACACATTTTAACGTCGTGGATCACTACTTATGTAATTGGAAACGATCGGATATGACAGAAATAGTGACACACAAAACACGCATCGCATACATCGATAAATACAGGCTCTGGCATCAGAACAAAGACTTTGAGGGTCTTTACTGATTGGTTGAGAAGAACTGAAAGGAAAACCACTATTATAGATACTGATGTTTGTATATTAGTGATCGTCAAAAGAGGAGATGAACGACGGGGCGATACGAAGAAGAAATGGGACGACGAAGAAGGATCGATGAGAAAGTGATAGAAGCACAGAGAGGAAAGATAAGGGAAAGTTGACACTTTGTCGTGAAGAAAGATGAAGTGGCCAACATTTTAACACATTGACGGAACAAGTCTGACATGCTAGTTTTGATGATCAGTCTCTAATCTCAGCAGCTCTAGATATCTTCCACTACCATCTTTGCCTTTATACCGGATCTCTCCCTAAAGATAATGGCATGCCACAAGTGTTAGTTAAGCTGATAAAAAATAGACAAAGCAATTCTGCCGTCGCTCGTGTAACAAGCATGGCTGC